TTCTTTCTTTCTTTCTTTCTTTCTTTCTTTCTTTCTTTCTTTCTTTCTTTCTTTCTTTCTTTCTTTTGAAGACAGTCTTGTTATGTAGTTCAGACTGGTCTTGAACTCACGGTGATCCTCTTGCCTCAGTTTTCAGAGTGCTGCTATCAATAGGCGCTGCCACACTTGGCTATTTTTCCTGAGTTGCAGAGCTATTTAGGATACTGATGGGCCAAGGGCCCATGCAGTCCCCACACTCCTTCTCTAAGGGGCTTCATCTGGCTCCACCCCATGCCCCATGGCTCTGTTACCCCAAAGCATCTCTGTGGGTGGCTTGTGGGTCCTGGAACATGAGCTTCCTTCCTGCTCCGTCTGTTCTGGGTCTTGCTGGTGTCCCACAGATCTGGGGACATCTTCCCACAGGGAAAAGCCCTGGGCTAGACTTCTGTTGCTCAGGGACAGGACCTAGCCCACTAGGGATGGCAACAGGGGGCACCGTGTGAAGTACAGAGAGCTGGGCTGAACCCAGAGGCAGAAAGCAGGATGCAGCTGAGTGACACAGGTGACAGTCACGTCACTCATGCTCCTCCAAGTCTCTCCTCCCAGTCTGGCTCCGATACCTCCCGATGGCAGCAGGGCCCTCAGCTGCACATGCCCATATGGACTCTCTGCCCCTGTCACGTGGTGGCCTTGGTCATTTCTCTGCAGAGTCCTTCACGCAGAAAACTGTCCAGTTCCAACTGGAGGAAACTTTGTCACCACAGCTGGGGCAGGGGTGGACGTACCTTGGTCCATCCATCTGCTTTCATACTCTCAGTCTATGGACTGGTGCCACCCACACTCAGGGTGGGGCTTCCCATTCCCTATGCTAAACTACCTAGGAACAAACCCAGTGTCACACACCCCGGATCCAGCCACCTCCGGAAAGCCCCACCTATAAGTGCCTGAGGCTTCAGGGGGCATCAAGAAACAAACTATAATAATGAGCCAACAGCTAAAATTATACCAAATGAGAAAGCCTTCACATTTTTCTCTGAGGTGTGGGACAAGATAGGAGTGCACACTTTCTCCACTGTCATTCAACAAAGTATCGGAAACCCTAGCTAGAAGAATTAGGCAAGAGAAAAAGAGCATCTACTTCAGAAAGGAGGATGGCAAGCTGCCACTTGGACAGATGCCACTACCTGCCATATAGAAAGCCTCAAAGGCCGTACCCAAAACCTAGTACAATTGCTAGGTGAATTCAGCACAGCTGCAGCATGCGAAACCAGCATACCAGGTCTAGTATGATGCTGTCTGCTCATGGTCAGTTAACCAAAAAGAAAGTAAGAGAGCAGCCTTTTTTATAATAACAGTGTGAATATCTAGGACAAACTCTCCTTCCTGTTGAGGACATCAAGCATTCTGTCCTAGAAACAAAGAAAGCGTCTAAGACACAGGCATCCCCAGTTCCCTCTTAGAATAGAGCTTGAAAATTGGGAAGTTAAGGTTCAGTCAGTCCCACAGGTATGTTTTGTTGATTTCCATGATGTATGTAAAAATATAGAGTAGCCAGGCATGGTAACACGCCTGCAATCCCAGCACTCAGGAGGCTGAGGCAGTAGGATCACCATGAGTTCAAGACCAGCCTGGGCTGCATAGTGAGATTCTGGCTCAAACAAAACAAAACAAGACAAAAGAAAACATCAATTCAGTTGTTAATATATAAAAATTGAAATAAATATCTTAGAATTAAAAAAATTATCTTTTTTGAGACAAGGTCTTTCTATGTAGTTCAGGCTGGTTTTAAACTCACTTTGTAGCCCAGGGTGGCCTCGAACTCACAACGATCCTCCTGCCTCAGCCTCCTGAGTGCTGGGATTATAGATGTACACCACCTTGACTGGCAGAAATACTTACCTAAATTTCCAGTGTTTGTTTAAAATTCCGGTATGGATTTCCATTTGTAAGATCCAAGTATGTAATATGTGTCTTATATATGGAGGGAAATATAAATACAAGCTTTAAATGCTTGTATTTAGCAAATTCTAAGGACTCTATTGAACTAAGCCAAATAAAGCTAGTAGAACTGGGCCTGAGGAGATAGTGGGACAGGGGAGATAGCTCTATGGTCTAAGTACCTGCCTGGCCAGCAAAAGGACCCAGGTTCGATTCCCGGTACTGGGCTGTCCACTGAAATCAGGTGTGGTGGTGGATGCTTGTAATCTGAGTGCTGGGGAGGCTCAAACAGTAGGATCACTATGAATCTGAGCTGTGTAGCAAGACCCTGTACCAATAAATAAATAAACGTTTTTTTTAAAAAAAAAACTATCACAACTTTTCAATAATTTTGGCAAGGTTGCAGAGTACAAGGTAAATATACAAAAACCTAATGTATTGTGTACATTAGCAATGAATGAATTGAATATGAAATTAAGAAATGAATTCCAAGTCAGGCGTGGTGTTGCATGCCCAATACCCCAGCACTTCAGGAAGCTGCAGCAGAAGGATCCCTGGGCTAAAAAAAAGGTCAAGGCAGCCTGGACTACAGGAGATCTTGTTTCAAAAAATAAAAACAAAGCTCCTTAAAAATAAATAAATACATAAATAAATAAACAAATAAAAATAGAAGGATAGGACAGAACTGGGGTGGCGAGGATTTGTACAACCCCCAAAATAAAGACTTAGACAGCACCTCCCTTCAGACAGGCATTTCCCATTTTGCTCCAGTTCCTATTACACCCATTGTATGTGATGGACATTCCCACGTATATTTTGCTTTTTTGTGTGTGTGTGACAGGGCCTGGCTATGTAGTTCCAGGTGGCCTTCAGCTTACTCTGTCCCCAAGACTGGCCTCTAATTAACAGTGATCGTCCTGCAGCCTCCCCAGTGCCGCAGTTGCCCCCATGTGTGCTCCCATGCCTGGCTGGCGCTTCGTAAGATCATTTTATAAATGAGGAACCTAAGGCTCAGAGACTGCTTGTACGTGCGCCTGGTCACACTTATGCACAGCTGTCCTGCTGCAAAGCTTACTGTGCTTACAGACAAGAATGAATTACAATGTTGCACCAAATATTAAAAATGAACTAACACCATGGAAGAAAAGCCTTTCCCGCACTGGGCCGCTGTGGATTAAATAGCTCCATGATGTTTAGACTTGGCTGTCGGGGTGGAGAGTGCTGGAGAAACCGAGCAGCTGCTTAAGTCATCACCATCATGCCCTCCTGCATCTTCACAGAGCTGGAAGCCATTTCTCAGCTGAGCCGGCAGAGCCCAGACATTGCCAGAATGGCTTTGTTTGGTATTTTGTCCTCATCCACCCTGTCCAACCAGGGACCCAGGGAGAAACACTGACAAAACTCGGGGAGGTGCAGTGAATCTTAAGCAGCATCCTTGATTCTGCATTAAGTCCCCTGCTGGTCACAGAGAGGTAGGGAGAAACAGTCACTCTTGGCCAGCACCTGGCCTAGCTGCCCGGTCCGTTCCTGCAGCCGTCTGCACACACAAGACCAGAGCAGGGCACTGCCACAGGCTCTGTGTTGTCCACAGCTGAACACTGTGACTGCATTCTGGCTCCGTGTTTGTTCCTCTGCGTTTAGAATTTTAATTGGCTTTTCATAACGACCTACAAAGCTCAACGGGGCAGGGGCAGTGTGCAAAGAGAACAGAAGCCACATCCTGGTGGCTGGCTGTGACACCGCCCTGCAGATGTGTTCCATTTTACTTGGCCTTGAAGCGCTGGAAGGAGTTGCTTTTCTGAATTTAGTGGACAAGGTTTTGCAATCTGCAAAATCAGCTACATTTTCTGCTCCTTCAGAAAAGTCTGTCTATCCTTAGCATATAGTCTTGCTAGGAAAGAAACGCTGCACCCCTTTAGTAGCATAGCAGCTGCCACTGCACAACGCTGTCTCATGGACTTACAGTTCCTGCAGGCCCCTAGACGTTTGATCTGTGACCTGTAGGCTACACTGCCTTTGCCTATGGGTAAAGTCTTGCTGGGTGTGGCTGCACACGCCTGGAATTCCAGCACTCGGGGGCTGAAGCAGGGACTGCTGAGAGTTCCAGACTTGCCTGGATTACACGGTGAGACCCTGCCTAAAAAAAAAGTCCACATGGATGCTCTTTAATTTGTCGTGTTGCATTGCACCCGACACACGTGTTCTATTCGTTCTGTCAGGTTCGAGGCCACTTTTGAGTTGTTGCAGGAGTCTTGACAGTGGACCAACCTCAGCGCAGAAAATCTGTGCTTCACTGTGCGCAAAAAGTCAAAAGAAACTCTGGGTTTGCTTCGGGATGAAATCCGTGGTGCCGGCCTTTCTGCGAGGTGGTTATAAGCTCGCTCTCAGGTAGCAACACAAACAGGAGCTCGCCCCCCACCCAACGCCGCCCCCCGCGGCCACCCCAGTGGGGTTACCTGAGTCCAGCTTAGCCCTCCTCAGACCGGTGGGAAAGATGTTACCGGTCAGAAGCTCAGAAAGAAGGTCGACGGAGCCCTGCCGAGCAGGTGACCTAACGGGCACGCACGCAGAGGCGTGGGTCGGGACCCGGCCCCGCGGGAGCGACAGTCCCCTCCCGCGCAGTTGGTGGTGCGCACGCGGCCGCACCGCACAGCGGACGGGACAGGCGCTCGGGGCTGCGCGCTCCCCTGGGCGCCCCGAGGCCAGCGCGCCCGCGTCCCGGCCTTCGCGACCCCTGGCTTTGGGCCCGCAGCAGGGGGGTGCGAGGCCGCAACCCGCACGCCGGGATCCTGGCCCTAGCTGTGCGCTCGCTGCGCCCCCCTGGCGACCCCTGGCGGCGCGCCTGTCCCGCCCCCGCCCCGCCCCCGCCCGGGCCACGCCCACATCGGTCGCCGGCCACGCCCACCCACGCCCGAAATAGCGGCGGCCGAGAGGAAGGCGCGGGCGGGCGGCCTTAAAGGAGCAGCGGGCGGCTGGGCGCTTTGGCATGGAGCGACGGGACGGCGGCGACGCGGGGCGCGCAGGGCCGCCCGGAGACCCACAGGCGGCCGCGGCGCTGCTGGCGCCCCTGGAGCTGGGTGAGGAGCCGCTTGAGAAGGCGCGCGCGAGGCCGGTCAAGGACCCCAACACCTACAAAGTGCTGTCGCTGGTAGGTCCCGGAGGAGGGCTCTCTGCTGCGCATCTGACCAATGCTTCTGCAGTCAAGTGTGGGAAGGGTTCGTTAGGATCCCAGCGCGCGGGAGGCTGAGGCAGGAGGATCCCTGCAAGTTGGAGGCCAGTCTGGGCTACATAGTGAGCTCAAAGACAGCCTGCACTGCGTGGTCATACTGTCTCAGAAAAAACAAGACAGCAAGCAAACAAAAAATCATCTTTAAAAATACTTTCTCCCATCTCTGGGATGCACAGGGGGAGAAAAATGACCCACTTGGAAGTGGATTCATAATGGCTGTATCTTGGAAGCCTATGTGCCACCAACAGATGAATGGGTACAAGAAATGTGATTACGCACAATGGAGTACTACTCTGCTGTAAAAAAGGATAAACTTGAGTCATTTGTAGGAAAATGGATGCACCTTGAGACCGTAGTGTTAAGCGAACTAAATCATACACACACTTCAATGTCATGTAGTTTATATGGGAAACCCAAAGTATTAATAGTTTAAAGAGCAAAAGAAAAGGTAAGTAATTGGAAATAGGGAGATGCAGCTTTTGCATAAGGGAAGAGGGCCAAGAATTGGGGAAGATGAGAAAAAGGACGGAGATGCCTCCGGAGCAGGAGGCATGTAATTGTTATATCTTGACACTAATAAAAATAGAGACTGAAGGAAAAACCCTCAA